TTAAGGTTTATGGTTTAAGGTTTAGGGCATTCGGTGAAGCATGGCAAGTCAAGGCTCCACATAAAAAGGACGAGCCTAGATCCTACATCCTATGCCCTGAATCCCAAACCCTAGACCCCGAAGCCCTAAACCCCTAACCAGTACACCCGAAGCACTAGCCTAAGCCCTAAACCCTAAACCCTAAACCCTAAACCCTAAACCCCTAAACCCTAAACCCTAAACCCCTAAACTCTCATGAGCCGAAGAGCCGCAGAATGAGGCTCCCTGTGCTTCGGCACCTTGGGTCTCACGGGCACCGTCTGGAATGAAGCGCTTCGGGCCGCAAGGGTTTAGGGCTTGGGTTTAGGGTTTAGGGATTTAGGGTTTAGGGTTTAGGGTTTAGGGTTTAGGGTTTAGGGGTTTACTTGGAGGCCCAGCGGACTTAGTAAGTGGGTTATAAGTACAGTTATAAGTACCCTAAATGGAGTAACCCTACTTATAACCGACTTACTAAGTCCCCTGGGCCTCCAAGTAGGGTTTAGGGTTTAGGGTCGGAGATCCTGCTGGGAGGTTGCTTCTGAGGGTTCTATAGGGTTTGGCGGCCTCCTTTGAGGGTTCTGTAGGGTTTAGGGTTTAGGGTCTAGAGTCCAGGGTCAGGGTTTAGGGTTTAGGGTGTAGGGAAGGATGGTAGAAGCTCGGTGTTTAAAGTGGTTGTTTCACTGGGTGCTTTGGCGCCTCTTTTGGCTCTTCTTGCTGTTTGTTCTGCCCCGATGCTTTGCCTTATTAATCTTACTCCCCAGAGCCTAAACTTAACTCTAAACTCTAAACCCAAAGCCCTAAACCCGAAAAAGCGCCCGACGCCCTAAGTTTTGAAGCCTAAACCATCATCCTCTCTCGGGTTTACGGGCTTAGGGGCTTAGGGTTGCCCGAACACCGGAACCCAAAGTCAAAGCCCCTGAAGCCCCTAAAACCTAAGCCACTAAACCCTTCGACGAGGTAGGCTGGTTAAGGTTTAGGGTTTAGGGTTTAGGATTAAGGGTTAACTCTTAAAGTTAAGCTCCTAAAGCCTCGGTCGCCCTGAAGCACTTAATCCCACAACCCCCTGAAGCCCTTCTAGAACCCTGTTTCTTTGGTCGGACATCCTTGCTATAGGATGGTTTTAAGGAGTTGTAAGTTTACATTCTGTAAAAAAAATGACTACTTGCGAAGCCCCGGGAGCTGCAAAGCAAGCCGCTCAACTCCGAATCTCCCTGGCCCTAATTACTGCTTTACCGGCCTTCTTCCCTATACCCTTGCACAACCCTCTACGACCCCCCAATAGAACACCCCCCACCTTTTCCTCAAGGCCTGAACCCTCCTTTGAAACCCTCTAAACAACCTTACGCAACACCCGAAACTCTTGCTCCAACTCCTGTAGAACTCGTATATAGCCCGTATAGAGCCCTGACAGACCCCTACAGGTCCCCTAGCCCTAATTGGCAAAGGTACTGGTCGGCAGTGCTGGCATCCACGACCTAGAGCGAGGCTCGAGCACTTACCGCTTTGCAGAGTTTTATATGGCTTTATAGGGTCTTTATGGGGTTGTAATGGGGTTCATGGGGTTGCAATAGGATTTTACGTTTTGCTTCTTATAGGATTGTACGAGGTTTTCTCGGGTTTCATGAAGGGGTTTGTTCTATAGGAGTTCAGGCTTTCACGTAATGCTTGATTAGGGGTGTTCAGGGCTTCGAGTTCTAGGTTTGCGAGGTTTCGGGTCGTAGGGTTTCGGGTTGGACTATGTAGGGTCTGGGTTTGGCGGTCAAGGGTGTCAGGTTCAGGAGTTTGCCGGTCTTTCAGCTCTCTATGTCCGTTTACGATTGCTATTGCGGCCATTGCTATCTGCACTGCGAGGATGTTCGTTACCATGACCATGTGTAGAGGGTGACAATGGAGAGGATGTCGGAGATCATCAAGGACACGATGCCTCGGTTTGGGTTTTTGGTTAGAACTTCTCAGTTTGGGCTTTGCGCGCTTCAGATTGGGAGTTTCCTGGTCGTGATGATGTTTGGCCGTGAAGATGGCAGTGATACTCATGCTGACGATGCTTTAAGATTCTGAAGGCGCGCTTGCGACTGCAAACCTGATGGACGTCATCGGTTAGTGCCAGTAGTCGTATTCTTATGCCATCCAGTGCACTCCTCAACGTGTATAGTTCAATCCTACACCTTGTAAACACCCTAAGCAGCAAACACCCCAAAATGGATTTCAAGTCAGTTGTGTAGGATCCTGTGATATGGAAGTCTGCACCCGATGGGCCCTCGTTCAAACGGGTCCTTTAAAGAACGCCCTATGTTTCGCTGCTACCTCGTGTACTTCCGGAAGAAACACAACAGCTAGTTAGTGTGTTGTCATCAGTTATTCGTTGCTACTACATGCTGCCAGTTGTTAGTCTTTTTCTGACTCTCATTCTTGCCCTCGTTTTGCTTTGTGTCCGAACAGTGTGATAGTCATGACGGCATTATATGTGCGCATAATGATGACGACGAGGATGATGATGGTGCCTTTCCATCGATGGCATCGATATCTTCTAGGGAAGGAGGGAAACAGACAGATGAGGCCTTGAGAACACCATATTCTTGCTGGGGCGGCACAGGTCGTGCCATTTGTGAGCATGCTGGCCACGTGCTCAGCTTTTGGACGTGGTTTGTCCCAATCCGGTAGTCGTAGGTACAGCACACTCGCGAAAAGCAGACATCAGCCTCATCATCACCATCATGGCCCATATCATCACCCTAACTTATCTTCACAAATAGTATCCGCATTTAATACTTACTCATTTGCTGGTTGCAATCAGGGCCGTGTCAGTCGTCATGAAAGTCCTGGTAAGGTAGTCGTACTGCTACGGGGAGCGTCAGCGACTGCGGTGACAACCGTCACAACGACAACGACTAAAACAGCGACAGCAATTTCGATCAACAGCAACTCAAAGAGCGACTACTAGTGCTGCTGCGGCGGCTACTGCTGCGCGTGCTCCTCCTCCTGCAGCTGCTGCTGCCGCTGCCGTTGCCTGCGGCTGCTGCTGCTTGCTGCTGCTGCTGCTGCAGTTTGCTGCTACTGCTACTGCTACTACTGTTACTACAGTTCTACCAATGCTACGGCGACTCTGCGTAGAAGTATAGCTTGAATTACTTCAGTCGTGATGTTTTCGAAAGGCTTAGAGCCAGAGCACATAGTAATGTCAACAATTATGGTTGCCTAGAGCAAGCATCGAAGAAATCCGTATCTCCTGTTGCCGAAGAACATAGGACGACACCAACAGCACACAAAGACAATACAGAACATAGGGTTACGTCCACACACACAGAGACACAGAGACAGACACAGACACAGACACAGACACAGACAGAGACAGACAGACAAACGCCACAAGCCAAGCGTGCACGGTACAACGCAGCAAAGCCAGATGCATGATGGGTTTATGGCTTGCTCAAGCAGACATGACTGAACCCAGACTCACTCAGACAGAAACGTAGCAACTATTGCGTCCACGCCCAAACCTTTTCTCACGCTTGGTTGGAGCTCGCCCGGATAGGTTCCTGGCAACCCTAAACCCTGAACGGTGAGGCCCTGGCTATACGCGAAGATCAAAAAGCGGGCAATTCAGAGGCCTCAAAAGGTGAGATGAGGTAGGCAGGGGGGAGAATCCCGTGTATAAGGACTCTTATTGAGGATTGTCCCCCTTAGCTTCATCCATGTCCTTCCCGATTTCTGCATCCTCGGCATATGTCTCCCCCTGCGCATTATGCAGCAAGACTTCAAGGAGACAGCATTTTCTCGACGTCCATGGCCTTGGGGACGAAGGGCGGATCCAGCTGTCGAGCCAAGAGCCCTTCCCATCCTCAAGCTTCAGCACGGTTGAGGCAAGATCGCAAGCTTTCGCAAGGCTGGAGCAGAAAGCACGATCTCGCAGCACCACAAGCCCCGCGTCAACTCGATCCGAGGTCCCGGCTGAAGTCCGAATAGAAAGGATGCTCCTACCCGTTTCAAAGTCTGCTCTGAAAAGATGCTCACCAGGTGCGGACCCTCCAAATCCCCTCGGGGCTCATTCTGAGTGCGTGCGATGCCGTCACCAGTGCACAGTCACTGGCGGGAGAGGCTCCTTCAACTCTTCGTAACCCCGCTGGCCCGCACCAAGTCGCTTTGCAGGGTCTCTGCACCTCGCGTTTTGAAGCTACTGCGTGCATACTTGAAACGTCCTTCCTGCTAATGATCTAGACTGCCCTGAGCTCCCGGCAGCAGAGCCTTCATAAGCTCCTTGGCATCCTCATGTAGGGCGAGGATGTCAAATTAAAATCAAACTCGAAAGGTTGACGTCGGAAGCAGCCATCGTGAAGCACCAGCCACCCTAGCGTCCCTAGCCCTGAACACTGAAGCCCGCAACCTGAAAGCGCAAACTCCCGAACCCACAAAGACGCAGGCCTTTTCGTGCACGCCGAGCCATTTTGGGAACTTGAGTGGAGCCTTGAGGACGGCTTTGAAGATCTGGCACGCAGGAGTGGAGATGAGTGGAGTCGTTCGGATGATAATTGAGAGACTAGTACCCGCCAGCTTTATCAGCACCGCTTGCTTCCAAAAAACCGCTGATGTCAACCAATTGGCACTGCTTCAGCAAGACGTCAAAGCCCCGCATTTCCAGAGAAGCCTCATCAACCCAAAAGACCCCTGACCCCAATCTGACTCAACCAAACGCCTGCCCCTCACGAGGGTTCCACATAGGCTGCTACAGTGCTGCGGCTACGCAGACCGACCGACTGTGTCTTCAGCCTCCACAAATCTGACCCTCGGACATGGAAGGTCTGCCGCTTCCAGTGGAGGTTGGTTGTTCGCAGAAATGGCAGTCGTAGCAAGAGTATTAACTGCTGCCAAGACTCAAGCTACGCTCTCACCACCAGTACTAATTCCACACCTCATCTGTATTACCATCCACCCCGACGATGGTCACGACAACTTCTACTACTCTAACTCTTACCACCGCTCGCGGCCTCGGCGTTTCCTGCCTGATCGTCCCCGAACGGAAACGAACCGACCATGAAGTCCTCGCAAGTCTGTCTCCAGCCATGTTTCCGTTCGCTTGTTGTCTCTCGGTCCATTCGGATAGAGAGAGAGAGAGAGAGAGA